GCCATTTTAAGGAAACGTCAAAATTCTGAAAATTACCTAAGGCTATAGCCCATGGTTTTTTCCAAAAAATGGCTCCAAAATCACCCCAAATTTTTATTACATTTTCTGATAGATATTGATGTCCTTATGCTGTGTAGCAAGTTTGAGCTGATTCCGACAAATATTTTTCGAGTTACGGCCATTTTAAGAAAACGTCAATTCTGAAAAATATTCAAGGCTATAGCCCATGGTTTTTTCCAAAAAATGGCTCTGAAATTACCCCAAATTTTTATTACATTTTCTGATACATATTGATGTACATATGCTACATAGCAAGTTTGAGCTGATTCTGTCAAATAATTTCCAAGTTATGAGCATCAGAAGAACATTAAAACTTTGAGTTTTGCTCATACTCCAATTAATGCCCACCACTCAATGATTTAGTTTGAGCATTTCCTTGTGTACAGTAACAAGCAATAAGACTTTATTTATGTATTTATTTATTTATTGATTTATTTATTTATAGTTACCTAATCCGCTTGCTTCAGCATTCCAACAAGCCCAGGCAGTGGCCTCTTCCATTACGGCTAACATTCAATCACAGGATCCATTCTCAGCAGCTGATTCACCAACTGGCAGTTCCACTGGTCAATCAGCAGCTGCTCCAGTCCTACCATCAATGCCTCCTATCACTGGTAATGTTGATCCTTCAAAGATTGATGAAATACGTAGAACCATATACGTAGGGAATCTTTCCAGCACAGTAAGAGAGGAATAGGGAGTTAATTTTTATTTTTTCTTTTTTTAATTTTCAGTTGCATGCGGATCAGGTTATGAATTTCTTTCAAACTTGCGGCGAAATAAAATACGTTAGAATGGCAGGAGATGAAACGCAACCAACACGGTTAGAATCATAAATTATCTATTTAATTATATACCTGTACCTTCTCTCTCTCTCAGTTTTGCTTTTGTAGAGTTTGCTAATCCTGAGTCAGTGCAGGTTGCTTTGCAGTACAATGGAGCAATGTTTGGTGACCGGCCGATAAAGTGAGTGTATCACATGATCTCTTCTACTGGTCACATGATTCTCACGTGATTTGTGTTTTCTTTATATTAACTGCAGTGAGACTGCTGGCCCTCATTACCTAAGAAATAACCCCCACCCTTCTTTTTCCTCCCTCCCTCTCTTTTTCTCTATTTATCTCTCTCTTCCTCCCTTTCCCTTTCTCTCTCTTCCTCTATTTCTCTCTATGTCATTTTTCCTTCTTTCTTACCACTATTCATTCTTCAGTATCTTTCTCACTATTTTTCACACATACACACGTATACATGTATATACACATATTCCATTATGCACACACTAAACTTATAAAGTACTGGTCTTGCAAATAAGCAACACAGTAAGTGGAAGAAGACCTGAAATACATGTATTTGTATTGACTTTTAAAAAATAATTATTGAATATTGATTTTCTTGTGACAGCTCTAACCATGTACACACACATAAATGCACACACTCTTCCATTCTTATTTATTTATTGTTTTCTATCTTTCTCTCTCTCAGGGTTAATCACAGTAAAAATGCAATAGTGAAGCCGCAAGGTAAAGCTCCTGATGTAGCTCAGAGAGAGGTTGATGAGGCCATGAGGAAAGTGAGACAAGCAAGTCACTCCATTACTAATGTCATTGAGCCAGGTGAGGGAGAAGGAGGGAGGGAGGGAGGGAAGGTTTAAATATTCCTGTTGCAGGTGCCAATAAAAACGAAGAAAAAGAGAAACGATCTCGTTCCAAGTCTCGCTCAAGGTAAGCCCCACCTCTTTTAATTACTAGGTGTGGTTATTATGTTTATTAGGTCGAGATCACGAGAGAGAAAACACGAGAGAAGGAGACACCGTTCACCATCACCTTATGAAAGGAGGAAGAGGAGGAGCTACTCAAGATCACCTAGACGATACAGTAGGAACTGGAGGTAAGAATTAATTAAGTAGTTATTAGTACTGGTTATTAAGTAGTTATTAATTCTAGTTATTAATTAATAATGCTGGTTATTAAGAAGTTATTAATGCCAATTATTAAATAGTTATTAATATTGGTTATTCAGTAGTTATTACTGTTAGTTATTAGTAGCTATTAATTTTTTGTTTATTTTAGAGATTACAGAGGTGGGAGTGGTTACAAAAGAGGTCATCGATCTCGTTCCAGGACTCCACCTCGTCACTCCTACCACTCGCACCGGTCTTCCTATCGTCACCGGTAACCATAGCAACATATTGACTCCACCCACTTTCATTGTGTTTATAGGTCACCTGATAAAGAAAGGAGGAGGCACTCACGATCAAGAAGCCGTTCAAGATCTCATTCACCGAGAAGGAAATCATCATCAAGGTAGAATAAATATTTTATTTATTATTTATTTTTACTTATTAATTTTTTTATTATTTCAGACGTAAGGATAGAGTGAGGGATTATTCCTACAGTCCTAGTCCAGAGAGGAGGAGGAGTAGTAAGAAATCTAAAAAAGACAAGAAGCACAAGAGAAGATCTCCCTCTGTCTCTCCCTCAGTCTCTCCTCCTCCACGTAAAAGTAAATGGAATTAATTAATAATAATAAACATTAATTTTGATTATTACTACTAAGAATTTACATTTAGATCTACTGCATTAGACAATCATGAAACAAATTCAAAATTATTCTGCTATTCTGCTACTCAAAATGAATGAATGTTTGAATCAAATGGTTTGAAAATAGAGATGACACTTTGACTTTAGCTTTTGAATGTTCACAAAAACTAATGAATTTTTTTACCAGTACATTTGTCATCTTTCTACTACTTGATGACTATTATATTTATTATTATTTTATTTTATTCTTTAGGAGGTGGTTCTGATAAAGGTGAAGGAGAGGAGGAGGAGATGGAGGAAGAGGAAGAGTTCTCTGATGGAAGTGCTCCTTCTGAGGAGGAGAGACAATCAAGTCCTTCAGCATCAGAATAGAACATTTAAAAAAATTGTTGTTGATCTCTTTCTAACCAATAAAATTAGAAAAGCAATTGTTCAGCATAGCAGTGAGGAACAAATGCTGACCTCAGTTGTGTCAGTGGTAGATGTATCCAATGAATAACTGATATGATATGCAAATGAGCTACGCCCTTGTTTACTGTTTTGCAATTTGAATTTGTGCCTTTTTATTGGTCGTTTTTTGCATCGTATGCTTGCAGAATCTGCTATTTGTTCCACAAAACTCTTCAGCCATGATTGATTTGTGTCAGTGGAGAGCTAGAATAGGATCCTGGAACTGTACCCGCCATTGGAGACAACCCAGTGCTTGTACTAGTACCGGTAATATTTACTGTAGAGCTGGTGTAGTCTCGCGTGCTGGTGATGCTGCACAAGAAAAGGGCCCTAGACTTGTTTTGTCTATTTTTTGTCTTCTTATCCTCCTCTTCATATCAGGAGATGTGGAACTTAATCCTGGACCCACTCTTACAGGTAAGGCTAATAGGAACTGTAGTCTAGGATTTATTAATACATCATAATAGATAAGCCCACAAAAGATGAATTGGTTGAGTTATTGAGTAGTTCAAAGTTTACTGCTGGTACTTGGGAACAGTTTGTCTGTTGTCTTCCCAACATGACACAAGATATCATTGCTGGAATCAAAGAGAGAGAATCAATAGAAGAGGACACCATGAGTGCTGTAGCTCAACATTGTCTTGATAATAATCCTGATATAACTTGGAAAAGGGTCATTAATGCTTTGCTGGATGCTGATGAAGCTGCTGTGGCTCGTAATGTCTTAGATAATCATTCAGGTATAATAGTATAAAGAATTTATGCAATTATTTCTCCTTTACTTTAGGTACAAGTTCCAGTAAAAATGTCTGCAGAACAGTAAAGCAAGTCCTAAGAAGTCATTACTCCAAATTAATGGAAAGTACTGAAACTTGCCTTTTAAAAGTAGCCAGTGAGTTGTACAGCAAAAATTTGATCAATAAAGAAGTTAGGCATTCACCAACTTTTGACAAAATTGAAATAGATTTCTCGGCAATGGTTTCTTTGCACAAAGGGGATGCAAAAAAGATGATGGAGGTGTGTTCCCTTTTTATAGACTGTCTGTCAACTGCAGGTGGTCCTGCTCAAGAGGAAGCCATTGCACTAGCTAGAGACTGGGAGAATGAAGTATTTAAAGACCATCAAGTATCATTTTCTACTTTTACTAAGACAGCCACAGAATATACTCCTCAAGAAGTAAAACTTAGCTTTAACGATAGCCTAGCAGTTGAACTTAGAAACCTAAGCAAGAAATATGTAATGCTAATAGATGATATTACTAAGTATTATGCTTCCAGCGGAAAACATGAAGCAATTGATCTTGCTCGATGGGTTCAAAACACTTTTTATGAAACTGGCTTAGCACGTGTTGGTGTGACAGTTGATGAAGTATTTGAACGAATGCTACCTTGTCACAGTTTTATTGACATTAATGCAATGAATGATCTAATGGAAGCCAACCCAATTGATGACTCTGTACTACAGGCTAGGTTTGATGAATATAGTGATAACATTGATAAATTCATTGATTCAGTAGAACTCAATGATATCGTTAAAACTATTGATGCAGCAATTATTGGAGAAAGTACCAAAGTTGATCCAAAAGTAATTCTCAAACTGTCTGGAAGATGGAATGATCAAACTATTGGCCATGTTCATAAGCTTATGAATTATTTATTTGACGAAGAAGCAAAATATGTTACAATAAAGAAGTTTTTACGAGGATCAATTTCTATACAACTTTTAGTATTTTCCAATAGATCAATTCAGCCTCTCATTGTGAAATCACAGGCTAAAATTCCCTTGTTGCATCTCCTTGGAATATTTCAACTGATCATTGACAATCAAACTATTATTGACAGAGAGGAAGATACTAGCTTTACATTTGAAGAATCACTTCTACAGTCTATTGCAAGTATTGACAGTGATATAGAATATCAGAGGTTATCATTACTACTGATAGAACTTAAAATAAAACTAAATTACCAAAACACAAAGGGCCAGACTGCACTAATGTTAGCTAGTGAAGGTGGACACATTGAAATTTTTTACTCATTGCTACAAAATGGTGCCAATCCATTTGTACCACTACCAGCCAATGAAGGATACATTGGATTGAACTTTTTAGCATGTACTGCTCTCTCTCAGCATATATACAAATCAATTGGAGGAGAAAAAATTATACCACAAGAAGACACTTCAGTTGAAGACATGCTGGAAATGGCTGTTAAAGAAAGAGGAGTGAGTTTTTATTTGTATGGGCCAT